CGACCACTTTTGACTTAGGGGAAGTTCGGGGCGGTAACAGCTAATGAAAAGAGTAAGGAAAAGGCGGGAAAATTGAAGAACTCGGGGATGATTAAGTAGCAATAGTCATAAAAAAAAAAAAAAAAGGGACGAAGGGGAGTAATTGGTCGAGTAAGGATAGATTGAATTAGAAGGGCGCGGGATCATTGATCAAAGTTAGAGAAAAGGCTATTAGTAGTACTAGCGAAAACGTAAAAAAGGCTATGAGTAGTACTAGCGAATAAGTAATAAGAAAGAAAAAAAGGAAGAAAAAAAAGCCTAACCTCAAGACGGGAGTTTGAATTAGTAAACTTCTCGGAGAAGGACCAGCGGCAAGCCAAGCGTCGATACAGAAGAAGTCCGGCTCCCCCCCCCCCCCAAAAAAAAAGGGGAGAGAAAGGCAGATGCAGAGAAGGAAGGACGTGAAGGTCTCATAAGGCTCTTCAATGAGGCAGCGGTGATAGTCTCAAGACTTCGACGCGGCCCAACCCTCGTGTGGTTTGGGAATTACCGCAGAGGTGTACCGAGGGGCCCCACAAGCGGTTATCGGGTAACTGAAAATTCAGGAATGAAAATTCTAAAGTGAGAGTTTTTGGCAGTCTGAAAATCCTGAATGGTCCTGAAGTGGTGAAAGGTCCGAAGACCCTGAAAACCACCTGTTTAAGCAGGCTGCATCCTGAAGTGGTGAAAGGTCCGAAGACTCTGAAAACCACCTGTTTARGCAGGCTCCATCCTGAAGTGGTGAAGGGTGTCCTGAAGTGGTCAAGTGAGAGTTTTGGGCAGTCTCAAAATCCTGAATGGTTCAGAAGTGGTGAAAGGTCCGAAGACCATGAAAACCATCATTCACCACTTGAGGATGCAGCCTGCCTAAACAGGTGGTTTTCAGGGTCTATGGAGTTTTCACCACTTCAGGACAAATCAAGTATTTAAGACCTGAATGGTCCTGAAGTGGTGAAAGGTCCGAAGACCCTAAAAACCACCAGTTTAGGCAGGCTGCATACTGAAGTGGTGAAGGGTGTCTTGAAGTGGTGATGAAAAATACGACTGTTGTTAACCTTCTCTCAGGGGCCCAGGCAAGACCGACAGGCACCAAGGAAGAAGGGAAAGGACTGTCGCGCCATCTTGGGAATCGGTACTCATGAAGTTTTGCGACTCAGAAGCGTCCAAGGAACTGTGTAAGGGACACTCCGCCACTACGACGAAGCACAGATTGGAAAGTACTGTACTCTCAAGAGTAACGAAGAGTGTATCTCGCCCTCCGCCTTTTCTTTGGTAGAGAACGTTAGGAGAAAGGTCCAGTAAGCTCCATGCGGACTAAATCTAGTTGAGTCGCCGCTATGTCTGCCAGTACTCCGGGCAGGACCATTGCGGCGCCTCTTTGTTCTGGACAGATCTGCGGGAACGCTGGTAAGAGCTGATGAAGCCAACTTACTCGAGAATTTCGATCTGAAGGCGATCACGATCTGCGAAGATGGCACCAAGCATGGTGACTACCATCTCCGATTAGAAAGTTTAGTTTGTTTTCTGTTAGAAAACGCCTTCTATAAGTTTCAGTCGAGGACGCTAGGAGTATCCTTCTGCATCGTGGATCTAGAGGTATGGAAGGAAGCCCTGTCGATATGGCCCCTAGCGAAGTCATTCGCTCTCTCCTTCTTCTCCGTGAAACACTACAAGCATCTGATTGATCTCACAGAGAAGGAGTTCGATTGGTTGGTCTGGTGGTATAGAATGGCTTGGGAATGCAAGAAGTCAATCGCCAAAGCTTCCTTTTGGGCTTTCGGCTTCTTGCTCGGTGAATATAGACGCTCGAGAATGGATCGACGCCGGATAGAACTCTTGATCACTCTTCTGATTAATTCAATGGACGACCGGACGTGCCTCCTCCGCATTAAGAGTTTTGCCTTTGAAAGAATCAGTAGGAGGAAGGAGGAAGTTTTCGAGTTACCCACGTGGGTAGACAAGGGCCCAAGAATCTGGGTTACTTCGCTGATGGCCCTGTTGGCAGGAATTGATCCTGACTGGGCACTCTCTGGAAGAAGTGAGAGCGCACAAGAGGAAGATCCACACGAGGAGCCACGGAAGCTTGTGCGAAAATTCTCCAGTCTGTCTCTTTTCAGCTTGGATTAATCAACCATCAATTGAAGAAGGATCTGACCCCAGTTTTAGGCCTGTTGACGGAACGATATGGCCGCTCAATTTACGACATTGCGTCTCTGCATCTTTCGAATCAGAACTAATATGGAAGCTCGATCTATGGCATGTCGTCATCGCATTCTTACGGAAACATTGGGGGGCGGGAAGGCAAGAAGGAGGAGAAGGAGGGAGCTTAGAATCGATACAACCGTTTGATCTATGACGCGCCGTCTTTCGCATTGAAGCTGCGGTAGCATCTAAAAAAAAAAAAAAAAAAAGGGAGAAGGGAAAGAGGTGGGAGAGAGAGAAGACGCGTGATGAGGGAAGAAGGGAAAGAAGGGAGAAGGGTGGGCAGCGCCAACTTTCCAATCGCCTGGTCTGACTAGAGAGATACCATATGAGAATCTTGCCTGCTGGGCTGGTTGTTCACAACGCCTTCAAGTTCCTTGGTCATGCTGCGACGAGAGAAGTATGGCAAGGCGGAAGATTAGCAAATGGGACAGCGCGGAAAGATTCGGCAGATTCGTGAGGAGGACTCGAGCAGCAGCATTAAGACGAAGTCACGAAGGCGCCCCGCTCAATCAATCCATTCAAGGACGAACGGCGGATCCGAATTATACGGAAAGAGAAGTCGAGAAGCACGAGAAGGAAGAAAGCAGGAGGATCGGAAATCCAAACCGATCAATTCGGGTGGATGGGAGCAGAAGATCGATGCAAAAAAAGGAGTGAAGCGGCGACCCCTTATAACCAAGCACACACGCAGCAGCATCAAATGAGGACACGAACGAACTAACTTAGCTCCTCATCACCAGGGCACGCGCACAATAGGAGCAGCGGTATCAAGTTGGAAGACGATGTATCACAGATCGCCAAACCGACTTAGCTCTTCTTCACCGAGAGACACGAGCGGCGATGCAGCAACATCAAGATGAAGGCACAAACTTAAGAGGACTTCTCGATTCAAGTCCAGGGACGAACGGGTTAGCATCCATCACAAAGATACGCTCGCAGAGGCATTAAGATGAAGGCGCAACTGAGAGGGCGGGGGAGGGTAGAGGGAGGAGGGGGGAGGGAGGAGGGGGAATAGGGAGAAGAGTGAAGGGGAAGAAAAGAAGAAGAGGGAGAAGAGAAGAGGCAGAAAAGCAGATCAAAAAGAAGGGAGACGTAGAGGATGAACATACAACTTACAGGAAGATCTTCAGCGAAGGGCGCAAACTCTCTCTCAACTAGGAACCTATCGCCTTAGTCTCTCATAGTTGCTTTCAAGGAAAGGAGCATAGGGTAGTAGGAAGAGGAAGAGGAAGAAGATAGGACCAGACGGACTACAAGGGGTTCCTTGAGATTCAGATATTCATGCAGAGAACTGGTCCGCTTAAATCATTCCTCCTTGATGGCCATTTGCATCAAATCTCACCATGGACATTGTTGTTTTTCCAAGCCCTTCACCGCCTGACTGATTCTCTTGGTTCATTTTCTATTTTCGCTATTTTCATTCTGCTCTCAAAATATAGCGCGGACTGATAGGATGTGCAATTTGTTAGCTTTTCAATAACTTCATTTTGTTTTCTCCGCAAACTGAGATTCGGTAGCTCAGCCTGCAAAATTCGCAATCAGGAAACATCGGATATCCGTCTTGAGGCCCACCCTCTCAGCATGCTTCCCCCTTACCTAAATCCGGTCAGGTGCCGAGCATTTTGTCGTTTCAATTGTTTTGTGAACCGCTGTTTTTGTTACCACTGCAGCTTCGCGTTCGCTGTCAACTATGTATGAATGCGCTCAGCATACGCCCGCGCGAATGCCACACCGACTTCTCGGGGCAGATTACCTGGCAAGATGTGTATATAGTTTGCGCACCTACCAACCATGGGCAGAGCCTTCACGCGCACAATGGGTGTCTGAAGGCTGAAGCAGACCGGCGGGAACCTCTGCGACAGTCATTGATCGCAGGGGAAAACGACTTCAGAACCTAAAAAAAAAAACAAAAAAAAAAGGAGAAAGGGGGAGGGGGGAAAGAGAAAGGAGAATGGAGAGGGAAGTGGGGAGGACAAGGGAGAATATATACATAAACAAAGGGGAAGATTCAACCATTGATGCTGAGCATACATCAGCACTGGACCTCTAACCAAGTGGCAACTACAGTGTAAAATCGGAGGCTCACCTGCCAAGTTAGCATAGGACTGCCAAGGAAGGGGGAACAGAGAAGAAAGAAGAAAGGGGTGGTAGGGGGGAGGAAGGAGGGAGACGAGTAGATGTGTTCTGGACCTATTCGTTGGAATTTCAAACGATCTTACAATCGCGATCTCACAGGGCGGAGCTGTCTTGATGCAACCAATCTCTCACAAAAAAAAAAAAAAAAAGAGAAAARATGAAAAAGGGGACAGCTTTGAAAAAAAAAAAAAAAAAAAAAAACTACGGTGCAGTCAGGGTTACAGTTTGTAATTGCATTTGAAACTGCGTTTTAGCAGTTTAGTCAGGGTCCGAGTTTCAATTGCAGTTGAAACTGGTTTTAGCAGTTTGAAACTCGGGCTGGGTTTTTTCTAGCAGTTCAGTCAGGCACATGGCCGTTTCTTTCTTTCTTGTTTTTTTTTTTGTTTTTTTTTTCGGAACGACGAGCTGAAAAAAAACAAAAAAAAAACAAAAAAGAAAACAGCTCCATGGTTGGGCGACGGCCGAGATGTCTCGGCCACACCCCAGACTGGCTACAGCCCCCCTGATTGGCCTGGGCCGAAATGTCTCGACCATAGCCGAGATTAGCAGGCACTACCCTTCCCAGGCAAACGCAAAGTCTCAAGAGTAACCTACTCCGAAGAAGTGGGGGGCTCGGGGCAGGGATGGAGGCCAAAAAAAAAAAAAAAAAAAAGAAGAAATAAAAAAGTAAAGAAACGAGGAACTTCGAATCCACCTAGGTCGAGAAGGCCCTCAGGTCACCAGTGCTTTGAGGAATGTATCTGGCCAGGAAATGAGGAACATGAAACAGGTCGTTTTCCTTTTTTGTCTCTTTGTCAGGTCCTTGTAGCGCCCTGCCAGCCAGGCAGGGCGGATTCAGCAAGTACTGTAGCATCTGTATAGAACCGCAATCAGAGCATAAGGGATGTTTTTTTTTTTCTTTTTCTTTATCTGCTGTTGGTGGATAGACGAGGGCCCTGAGTGAACTGCTACCCAAAGGCAGCCCGAGTTTCAACTGCAATTGAAACTCGGGCCCTGACTAAACTGCTAAAAAGCAGTTTCGAATGCAATTACAAACTGTTTTCGTGACCGCGCCGAAGTTACCCCAAAAAAAAAACAAGAGAGAGAAGGGGGCCCGACGCACTAATTTATTAGACTCTGAAGGAGTCATCCGACCTTCACCCCTTAGCAACCTCCCTACCAGGATCCAGCACGCATCAAACGCCTGTTCCCCACCTCAGTAGCCCTTACCCTTAGCCATCTCTGCATAAAAAGAGGAGATCTTCTGACCTATCACTATTTCCCTTTCACACTCTGCTCACAGACCGAATTTGCTCGTAAAACATAACAGATTACCCTTGCATCTCGCAGAACTGTTCAGTAGGCCCGATTCTCTCTTAAGTATTTGAGCCCGTTATCAAAAAACTGTCTCTTCCGAACCTGACACGTCAAGAATGCTTGCTTTCCATTTATTGAACCACCCTCGGCCAAATAATAGGTATTGTCATTCAGATACTCGAACTGTAGCTTCCATCAAAATAGACCCTCGACGCACATTCAGGGTCCCCCCACACCACTCTTGAAACGGGGAATTTTTTTTTCAAGAGTTGTCAGACGTTCTCAAGAGTTGGGTTTTTCAAGAGTTTCCGGCCCCTCGCCACACAGCACTCTCGAAAGGGCGATGGTGTTGGACAACCGATGAAAAACGAGAGTCGTACAACTTTGTTTTTTTCCGAATGGCGTCAGGATAACGGTTTGACAACTCTCGAAAATCGAAAGTCCCTCAAGGTTCGGCCGAGGACGTTTGAAAACGCACGAATTCCAGGCTGGGGTTCCCCATTTTTCTAGAGCTGCTCTGGAAGGGGTTTCAAGAGCTGCTCTGACAACCCTTGACTGCCCCAAGTTTCGAGAGGTTGTGCGGCGATGCACCAACTCTTGAAAATGAGTTTTTCAAGAGTGGTGTGGCGAGGCCCTCAGGACGCGGACATTCAACACCTACTCCCGGATCTGTCAGATTACCTGTCCGGCATCGAATTCCTGCCCCGGACTCCATCCACCTGCGAATGGCCTTACCAGCCCAATTATCAGACATCCGTCGCTTTCGAACCTCCTAAAAACAGCCCGACTTTGCCGCACATTTCATGGGAACTGGTTCCCTTCGCTCGTCTGATTCCCTCAAAACAGAAAGAAAAAAAAAGAGAGGCTGACAATCGCCATCTACTTACGGATCGGTTAGAAAATCAGACCTTGTCTTTCCCTTCTGAGGCGTCACCGCCCGTTAAGCTTGATTTTGTCGC